CCACTGACTGAGTAAAAGTAAACCTGGGAGTAAAACCCAGGCCTCAGGACTCCCAGTCCTTTCTAATATGCCAAGGCTGTTGCCTTTTTGAGAAGTGTGAACATGGAATGTATAAGATCTGATTTCTGTGTTGACTCCCAAGTTACAAGTGTTTGGAGAAATAACTCGTAAAATAAAGCTTCAAGTAATTTAGCAATGAGTAAACTCAGTTCATATAATAAGCCATCATTAGGCAAATTAGCTTGACTTTTCAGCAGATTACCATACCCTTAGGGCAGAGTTACCTGTAGACTGGTTAATGACTTCAGGGTAATTTTACTGCTGTTAGGAAATTGTATGGCTTTGAATGATAATATCCCTTTGTGTTGTAATTTTAAAGGTGGTGAATCATATTTTTTATTAATTATTTCCCCGCTGTTTGAAATGTAACTGTATATTACATAAAATATTAAAATTTGAAGACTGATACGGTTCATATTGTAGGAAAATAAGACTTTTGGAGTTTTGTGACATTTACCTGCTTATATTTACACTGTTTCACTTTTTGTGTTTTTTTTCCTGCTGTTTTGTAAGAGGCACAAGGCAGACCATTTGGGAGGAATCTTTTTTAAACTTCTAAAAGCATTTAAGACAATCTTATGATACAAAGAACACTTACAAATCAAGAGCAAAGTGAAGAAAGACAGTTCAGTAGGAAAGATAGGGACTTTATGTGAAAGGGTGACACCTGGGCTCTTAATCACATGAGACTGAGAGGGGAAGGGTGCAGACTCTGGCTCCAGGTGTTGGAGGAAAATGGGGTGTGAGATGATGGTCGGTCACGTCCTAGGTGTCGGGCAAGTCCCTGGGATGGGACACGCCCCAACAAGTAAGGGTCCTTAGCTTTGGGCAGGAAAGAATTCAAGAGCGAGCTGTAGTGGAGTGAAGGTAGATTTATTCAAGGAGACACATACTCCATAGACAGAGTGCAGGCTGTCTCAGTAGTCAGGAGAGAGCAACCACCAGGTGTTTGTAGGGTTGTTAGTTTTTATGGGTGTGGTAACTTCATATGCTAACAAATGGGAAGATTATTCTAAGTACTTTGGGGAAGGGGCTGGGATTCCCAAGAATTGGGCTATCACCCACTTTTTGACATTCTATGGTCAGTGTCGGAACTGTCATGGCACCTGTGGGAGTGTCGTTCAGCACGCTGATACACTACAGTGAGCACTGATGCACTACAGTGAGCATTGTTATGTTACAGTGAGCGTGTGATGAAGCTCAGGGTCTGCTGGGAGTTGAATCTTCCCCTCCCTTGGTGCTAACTGCTGTGTTTTAATGGTTGCGCGCTGCCTTCCCGCCTTGGCATGGCTTCACGTCCTGAGTCTGCCACTTACTAGTTTAAGCAGACTCGTAAAATCTCTGCCTCCATTTCCTTGTCTGTAAAGTGGGGATTAAAGGAATTAATAAATGTAAAATACTTGTAACAGTAACAGTGCTTGGCACGTAGTGCTCAAGACGTGTTAGTTGTTATTGTCGCTATGATTGTGA